TGATCGAAGGGTCTTCATTTTCATTTCGGCCATGGTGGTCGCATTTGGACTGTGTAAAGTCAGTGGACGCTAAAAAAGTGCACATTGTTTACATTTTCGGAGCCCTAAACATGCCCCAAGTAATAATATTTTTAGTATAATATTGTCATTGGCTGAAGCAATACTACATTTATTATAATATTATTATCCCATCTATCTATCTATCTGCCGAATCCCAATAATTTTATATTATCTATCTAGTTGCCTATGTCCCGATGTTCTTGTGATTGCCTCATTAACTTGGGGTAGACTAAAATTGATGCGGTTGCGTAAGAAGGTTTCACGATATGTGTCGAAGGTCATACAGGAATAACGTAAAAAGGCTGTCGCGTACGTCGTCGAATTGAACTCAATCCCTCTGGAATAAGTCAGGTGCCCTAAGTACGTGGTGTCAGGTTTACTACCCTCTCTCCTGGTCCGATCCCATGACTATGAATATCTAAGTCTAATCACACGCTAGGCTACTTTGGCATAACTCTCCTCTTACACCATAATCAATAAATATATGCAGTTATTTATCACTTATATCCATCCTGCGTCAGAGTACAGCTCATGCATATGCGACTACGGTCGAATAGAAATATTGGGACACTAAAGCGTATATAAATTCGAGGTTGATTGTTGAAATAGTATTCCGGAATCCTCGTAGTGCTACTTCTGTGCAAAAAAAAAGATGCTTATTTTAAGTGAAATCAAGTTACAGTGGTCTACATCCCGTTAGCGCATTTCAAATCAGCCGCCTCAAAGTGGTCTTTCGCACGTCGTTGTTGACATGCTCAACGAATCCCGCCTGCGTAGCTGCCGACAAAAGTAGCAGCCGAGTGAAAGTAGCGGGAGCCACGCAACTACAACAGCCACTGAATTCTTTTTCCACTTGCTTGGTTCAACTAGGCCCCACTAGGTGAATCAACCTGCCTAGTCTAACCAACTGAACATTTTAAAGGAGCCCCGAAACACTTTTCAAAAGAAACCATGGAATAAATTCACTGAACGAGCTTATTGCCTCACAATTTCAACACCACAAAGACATTAAGAATTCGCCCAGTGAGAGTGGAGTTACAAAGATTCGTCCCATGAAGCGATCGAATTCTCTCTTCTCTCGCCCCGACGACAGCACTGGAAGCTAAGAAGGGAGAGATTGCAGGGGCAAAGAAAATACGTCAGCAAGCCTCGTAACCTTGAGCATTTCTTTCTTTTTTTTTCTTTCAATTTGCGGCTTTTTCAGTGTGATCGCGCGCGCACGCGTAAGTGCACGTTGAAGAACCACAGGTGGTCTAAATCTGTAGAGCTCTTCCCTATGGTGTCTCATAATTATATGATGGTTTTGGGACGTTAAGACCCACATGTCGTCGATGATTGCCATGATTTACATTTCATGATCTTGCTGTTCTTGCGGTTGTTTTGTTCACATGACATGTTGCAGAACTGGTATGGTATGACATGATCGCATGGTGAGCACATGCGACTGATTCTAACATTAAAATCGTGACATGCGTGTCATGTAATATTATGACTACATGATACACTCATGATCCGCTCGCGCTCATTTCGCTAGCTTCGCGTATACCTAATTTCGTAATACGGGACGTGAATGGATGACGAAGCTTTTTGACTGGGGCAGACAAAATATTCATGAGATGCGTGTCATGCAAAAACATGATTACATGCCATGCTCATGGTGCGCTCGCGGTCGTTTCGCTGGCTTCACATATACCAATATTGGTGCTACGGGACGTGAATGGATGACGAAGGTATGTGACTGGTGCAAACATGATAAACATGAGATGCGTGTCATGTAACAACACGGCTACGCGCTACGCTCACGATGCGCACGTGGCCGTTTCGCTAGCTTCATATGTACCAATTTCGGTATTTAGTGACGTGAATGTACGACAAATGTAAATGACACGTCCAAACATGATAATCATGAAATTCGTGTCATGTAACAACATGACTACATGCCACACTCATGATGCGCTCGCGGCCGTTTCGCTAGCTTCACATAAGCCAAATTTGGTATTACGTGACGCCAATGGACGAAGAAGGTTTGTGAGTGGTGCAAACATGGTAATTATGGGATTTGTGTCATGTGAGAACATGACTACATGCCGCACTCAAGGCGCCAGTACACTTGACGTGATTCGGTTCTCGTGCGCGCCGGCGTTCGTTCCGTCGCATGACGCTGGTGATGCCACGCCAGGTGCCGATCTGTTTGCAATATGCTTGCAGGCGCGCGCCGCGCTGCGTTGCGTCGACGCATGCGCGCTTGAGTGCGCCCGACGTCCCCCTGTCACGGAGTAAGGCAGATGCGGTGCTGTCTGGGTAACGTCGTCGTCGCGAAATGCAGCGTGTCACATATCGCGCTGTTTATCGCCGGGCCGCACTGACGGACGCTGGTCACGCTTGGCGTCAGACTATAGAGTGCTCGCGTTTTGCTAGCGTAGCGTCGCTTCGTTCCGCGTGCGCGCGCATCAACGTTACGTCGGAGTAATTAGACACGTTTGATTGGGGGTACGTAACGAACCTACGTACGCAGCTTGGCTAAGGAAGAGAAGTGCGCATGCGCAGTACGTATCGTATTTATTCCATGGATGCGTGCGTAACCCCCCTCCCTTTCCCCACAAAAAAAAAACGCGGCATGCCTAAACGTGAGGACGAAGCGGAGTGTACGCGGTGTGACGCTCCCGCGATATTTCAATTGAAATAAGAACTAGATAGCGAAATTGCAGCGATGGCGTCAAATGCAGAGTGTGACAAAGCCGGCCCAAATCGAGTACATTTCACTTTGAGGGGCAATGTTGCGCTGCTAGTGTAAGTACAAACCAGCTATCCATTTAGGCATCCGGAACAAACCAACGTAAGCCATAGATCCAACATGATTCACTTGGCTTGGATGCTAGAGACCATTATGACGGCCGCTGCCACATGAGTGCGCTAAAAAGCACCCAAAAGCTGACTTATTTATAATAACATACGTCTAGTTGAACCAAACGTATCTCGGCACGGTCATTACGGTGAACTAAAAGTGTCGTTGAGCGATTCACTTGCAGCACTTCACTTGCAGCGTAGGCTCGTGACGTACGCCCAACTAAAAGTGTCTATTGAGCCCTTCATGATGCGCCCGCCGCCTTTTTCCTAGCTTCAGATATACCGAAGTTGGTATTACGGGATGTGAATTGACAACGAAAGTATGCAACTGGTACAAACTTAACAATCATGAGATGCATGTAATGCAACATGACTACACGCCTGCTCATGATGCGCTCGCGGTCATTTCACTAGCTTCACACATAGTAGATTTGGTATGACGGGACGTGTATAGACGAAGAAAGATGATACGTCCAAACATGATAATCATGACATGCGCGTCATGTAACTACATGACTACATGCTATGCTCATGATGCACTCGTGGCCGTTTCGCAAGCCCAACATATACCAAATTTGGTACTACGTGACGTGAATCGATGACGAAAGTAAATGACACGTCCAAACATGATAATCATGAGATGCGTGTCATGTAACAACATGACTACATGCTATGCTCATGATGTGCTTGCGGCCGTTTCACTAGCTTCACATATACCATATTTAGTATCAGGTGACGTGAATAGATTACGAAGGTCATTGACACGTCCAAACATGATAGTCATGACATGGAAGTCATGTACGGCATAAGTTACATCCACCTAGTAATGTTGCGCTGATTTTAAACTGGCATATCATTCTTCCTCATTTGTACTTCGCATATGATTGATTCCCTCAATACGTGGGATCTGCCAAGTGTTTTTACAAATGAAAGGGAATGAACAAGCAGCACTATGCTACGTCTATTTTTGCACGGGATGTTTGGAGAAGCAGCATGTTTAAATATTAGTAAATAATGGCAGTTGGACACTTTCACGTCATCGGTATCATTTTAAAAACATCCCGCTCGCCACCCACGTCGTTTGCTCCATTTAGCCTGATTTCTCGGAAAGTATGGCACCACTGTTGATAATAGTGCCATTTTAGACGTTGTCATGCATTGAGCTTTGACGTTGACGTAAATTATCATTTACCTTTAGCTTCTCCTTAACAAACGAGCTGGAGGTTGTTCAGAATCACTCAGCCCATCACATCATAGCAAATTGTCATTGAACATTTATTGTATGTTCCATAAAAGCCCCCTGTGACCTTACTTCAATAAAAAAGTATAGAAAACCACGACCCAATGTGGCGCGCTAACTGAACCCACATTTAAAAACAAAAAAAAAACAATAACTATAGGAAGTTACACTTACAAATAAAAACTCAACATCTAGAGCTGTGATTTCAACGTGGGTTTTAAGTGGGAAGCAGTCTATTTCTGCACTATATTCAAAGAGCCGCGCGCAACTGTCCAAACAACGACATATTGCAGACAACCGACTGCAGCACGGCCAGTGGATCGTCCCAGTTCAGGCTTTACTTTTCAAAGCTCGTTCAAGGCACTTCAATGTTTTAATACATTCTATCTGAAGACCAATTTGAAAGAACGGACATTCATATACAGGAATAAAAGTTTTACCGATTGATAACACATAAACATCTTGGAAAACAAAGTGAGCACGATAAAGATGCACCAATTAAATAAATGCGACACAAATTTACAATAACAACCTCAATGCGTGTAAACTAACGCAAGCAATATTAAAAGTTTCGTAGCCAAGATTCTGAGTTTATTTAGCAGTTCGAAAAAGTTCTACCTAAGGTACACGTGCACGCACGTTTTGAGAATCACACAGTGGGAATACATCTACTACGGCCTGGATGAAATCGAGCATGCCAATCACGGAAACCAGAGCGTACAGACATGATCATCACCAGAATGCAACGAACGCTCAAAAGGCCCTGTGAAAATTGACGCTTTATCTCTTATTGATACGGCACACGTGTTTTATAAACCGCCTTTCACTCGAGCGCAAACTTTAGTGCTTCCCTCAGTCGACTGAAAGCAGGCGTGCTGATTATGAACATTCGCTACGAAGAAAGCTTCCAAAGAGCAACGGAATACTGCGCCTATTAACGCTTCACCGTAGCTGCAAGAACGCTCTGAAGAAAACGACCGTACCTGCCGGGTATACCTTGATAGTTCTCAAGTTATGACCTTAAGGGACTTGAATGCGTTGACTAGGGCCCTCAGCAGAGTAGATTATTGGGAAATACACCGCATGAGCAACGCGCGTATCCTTGACAACTTTAGCATTTTGGGGATGCCAACGAAGCAAGAGATGATTGATCGAGTGCGTGCACACCTGCAAGCAATACACGTGCCGACGCGCCGGCTTCAACTTCTGGCTGCGGCGTATTGTTGGCTTGCAGGCCCAAGCGACGTGCTTTCACCGTGGGAGCTGTATCGTCTCAACTCGCTCAACGTGAATTTAACCGACTTTGACCTACATGAGCGCATTGGGAGAGAGCTGGGAATTCAAGGTTGTCCTGGAAGCATTTGTTGTCGAGGGCCGAAGCAAGGTCGCCCGCTATGCGTGCATTGTAGTACCGGACATCGTTCCCACGATTGAGCACTGCGTCATCTGTGTTGCGTCTGGAACAGTCCTGACCTACGTGGCTGTCTGGGCATCCGAGTCGGTGGGTAGGGAACATCTTCGTTCTGCCCTTGCTACAACACTCTGCGGTAATCCCGAGAACATGCGGATTGGTTCCTTCGAGACCCTTTCAAAGGCATATATAGCAGCCCGTTGCAATGAGGTGGCCAAACAGGCCAAGTCCTAAGCCATGCAATACCACTCCACGGCGACTTTTGGAATCACGGACATCTGAAGGGTTCTGACGTATGCCATATTGAGGTAAGGTTTGCATCTGTACGTACCTGTTACATGGGTTTCCGTGATGACCAATCGTACTAAGAATATCTTAAATACGTAATGCGCCGTTATTTAGAGATTGAGGTAAAAAATTTTTTTATTTTAATTATGATACCTTACAAGCTCAATGAGAGCATTGAGTAATACCGGGCGAAAATGGCGGCATTTGTTGCACATATATTTTATTAGGTGCCATACCTAAGTTCAGAATGTGTGCAGGAACCCAATTTTCCGTACCACACCTCAGTGTGTGACTCTGTATAGGTACCAATTTTTCAAATCCTGAACACGTCAGCTTCAACCACCCAGTCGATAAGAAAAGTTAAACGGAGAACAGCGGCGAAATGAACGAGCATAGCTGCATGCCTGCATTAAGCAATCTTGTGCAGCTGTATTCTGCTAAGCTGTTCTAAGGAACCGACAACAGTATGACCGGCACAGGCGCTTCGGACTCGGTGGTCGATGGTTGAGCGTTCAGGTTAGAGAAATGGGTGGCTGTACGTTGACCTAGCGTTTGCCCTTATAACGTAGGCATAGATTCCGTATTTAGCCGGAGGGCGCGGCCTATTTAGGCACGTCATTGGTAGTTCTTTTCTACTTCACTTCAGTGAACTTCTTTTCTACCTCAAGTGACTAACAAACAATAAATTCAGTTTGCCACGTACACTAAACGTGACGTTATAGGTCATGTCATGTTGCCCAGCCGCTGTAGTCCAGTGGCTAAGGTACTCGGCTGCTGACCCGCAGGGCGCGGGTTCGAATCCCGGTTGCGGCGGCTGCATTTCCGATGGAGGCGGAAATGTTGTAGGCCCGTGTGCTCAGATTTGGGGGCACGTTAAAGAACCGCAGGTGCTCGAAATTTCCGGAGCCCTCTACTACAGCGACACTCATAATCATATGGTGGTTTCGAGACGGTAAACCCCCATTAATAATTACGTCATGTCATGTTATGATATGAGTTCTTACATTATTCCCATAGCACAAATGCATGGTGCTATATTTAGCCCCTTGTCGATAGGCATAGTGAAGATAGTTCCAGTGGATATCGCTCAGCGCTCTGTCGTCTACTTTTGGTCGTCTCGCAGGTTATCGTCCCCGTACGGCTGGTAAATAGTGTGCTGTTTATTGCCGTGTGATACATATAAATAGGGTACTGTCTGTGTAGCCATGCAGAATTGGAATTTAAGTCGTTTCTGTATAATCAAGACCCATTATTTCATTTTCTTGGTGACACCTGTCCGCATGATGATGGCATCTTTTCGCCGTGGGCACGTTGTACAGGTATCAAAGAATCTTTGCAGGCCGCATTTGGGTTAAAGAAATAACAGTAAAAAGCTCCGAATAACACACAGCAGCCTTGTTTGTTAAATATTCATTATAATTACAAAATAATGTACGGGAAGACACGGACACAAGAAGTCGTGAGATCACAAGAAGCTGACTCGCAACACCGGCCAAAGAGCAAGTTGTTAGGCAGCGTCTTGTGGTGCCGTTACTTATTTCTTGTGCCCATGCTGAGACGTTCTGTCTGTTAACTCGAAAGCAAGATCACAAAACTAGTAATATGAGAGGCTTCGCATATTCCCATGCATGCCGAAAGTTATCATTAAAAAAAAACGTCCCGTAATGGTCTTTGTATTTGTTTGTGGTATTTCAGCAAAATATCATGTCATTGTGCCGTGAGTTCTATATCTGAATGTGACGTCACACGTTCTTTTCTGTTATCTTTGATAGAGGCGGTGCACTCCGGTATGCGATGGCGACAATGTCAGCGAGCTGCGAAATCCTCGCGCATGGGCTGTGATGCATCCCACCGGTTCACCTTGCAGCAGTGCCTGGATCTTCACACAAGAGGATGGCTTAGTCTTGCTTGCTACTGGCATGTTCGTCTCAGTATGAAGGGAAACTTTCGGCATAAGCTTTGCAGCTTCTCTGTAACTATTCGCTATCGCTGACAAACACGCAGAATGTGTGCGCAAAGAGCATGAAGAAATTTATCACAAGAACTGCAAGTATACTTTGACCAGATTTTATTCTTTTTATACAAATTTAATTTCTTTTCCGGTTATTCTATGTATGCGCAGAAAATCATAATCACTTTTACTTTGTTTTCCGGAAGTTGCTTAGTAGAACGCACGCTTAAGAAGTTCTGCATGAAATATTTATTATTGGAACTAAGTGCTTTTGCGAAAACTGTACCGTCCTCGTGTGTAATAAAGCACTAGCTGATACCAAGAGCAACAGCGTATGAACACCAGGGAAAAAAGGATCATGAAATATTCTCCACTTTCAAAGACTGTTATCAACCTGCTAGCTTTATGGAGCTCGTTTCGCAGAACGTTTGGTGTCGTAGGCGTTAGTTTTGAGCGAAAAATCGTCTTATGCTTGACGAAAAAGTTAAGAACGGTGCAAATATAATAAATAAATGAAAAAAAAAACACTGGAGGGAGAGTTGGGACTAAACCAGGGTTGTGGGGTCCGAGTGGGGTCGAACGTGGGTCGTTTGCGTTGCAAGCGGATATTCTACGCACAGCCACGCCTCTGTTTGCGAAAACAGTGTAAACAACTTCCCTGCTTGGAAATTCGGTGAAGGTAGCTTCCATGCTTCAGAAACGCAAGCGTCTTGTATATGCTTCAAATGCTACATGAAATATTGCAGCGTGGTAAAGCGCCCATTGCCAATGGGTGTTAGAATATCTAATCAGCATAATGGCTCCATGGTGTTAAGCTGATACACCACTACAAAAGGCGCACATGCTGCTGCGCCTCTTTCGTTAGGACACGTAGTTGGTGCATACCAAATTCGAACAGGTGTCATGCAATAAGTGTTGAAGTGCGCTCTACGAACAGAATGTCACTGTCACGTTGAACTGCTAAAGGCGAAGCTTTATGGTTCCCTGATTTCTTTTGTCTTGCCATTCAAAGAGTTTAGCGATATACTTCTTTATAGCTTATAGAAACATGGGTATTCAAGAACAACGATGACAGCTACGAAATGGTTCACCTGCTTCATATTAGGCTGCTTGGAATTATGACAAAGGCGGCTATAATGAGGCGCTCGTATTATTCTCGTGGTTGTAACGTCGAAATAACAAGCACACAAGCTGACGATTTTTTGCGGTTGCCTTTTGACATCTCGTTCTGTCTTCGGTTGCACTTGAATTTTGTGCAATGTTTACTTCTCATCACACATTCTTGTATTTTTCATGTTTTGTGCAGTAGAATATCCCTTTTTTAATCTCTTCATTTAGGTTAGATGATCTTTACGTCATTCGTGTTCATTGACAACAATGTATGCCGCTATTTCTCCTTTGTAATCATGGTTTTACCTATTTTTATCTTTCTATCAATGTTCTTGAAATGTGCAGTGTTTAAGTTCACTGTGTGACCCTCCACTGTCAGGCTTGAATGGGGCTGTGAGTATGAGTGTAAATAAAAAAGAAACAGTAAACGTTAACTATTGACTAATATTCAAATATCTGGTGCAACGTCCCATACCCTGGTATGAATATGGGAAACGCCATAGGGGAGGCCTCTGGTAACTTCGGCCACCAGGGGTTCTGTAGGTGAAGATAAATCTAAGTACGCGGGATTCTTTATTATTAGGTGAACTTGTACCGAGAAGGCACACACATGGCAATATCAAGCAACACTCGCGTTAAAAATACAGTGGTGGGGATGGTTGTCAGACGTAGATAAGCTGAGCGTCCCTAGAGGTCTGCGTGTACTGTACATGCGTGGACTTATACACAATCTTTGTGATCGACGTAAGCGTTAGTTTGGGAATGAACCCCGTCACAAGTGTCGTCAGTAAACGCTTGCAATTTGGTAACACTCTCCCACGACGCAAGCTCCGAGAGCGGGATATATTTGTAGGTAATATCTTCCATACATAACTCGATCTGCTGATGATGAGCAGCGTCTGCTAAGCGGTTTAGTTCAACATGAATTGAGGTAATATTCAAGCTGACAGCGAAGTATACAACAGAACACATTGTGTAATTGGGACACAGTATTAGCAGCAAAGTGCGAGTGACACTCTGTAGTCTAACGCCAAGCGCGATCAGCGCGACTAGCGTCCGTCGTCGCGGCCCGAAGGCAACATGCGCGAAGTGCGCCATTCTGCATTTGACGCCAATGCGTTACCGAGACAGCACTGCGGCTGCTTCTTTTAGGGGCGAAGCTCCTTATGGCGTGGCTTGTGCGTCCCTCGTAGTGCTTCACCACCAGCGGCACATACCCGAACTAGCGGTCCTTACGATTTTGACCTCCAAGGTGGTTCCGGTGAGAGATTTCTTCTGCGCGTTGTTGAACAATAAAAGATAGTGCTCAATGCACATGTTAATGGCTGCTAAGGGAATGAGAGACAGAAGCATTCGGCCTTTAGGTAACGCGCACGCTGCGATCCCCATCAGCAGCTATTGGCATGTACATTGAGCACTATCTGACAAGAAAGGGTTGCTACGTTATATTCGCTGGGTGTAACCTCTTTGGTTTTAGAAAGGCTTAGCGAGTGTTGGGCCGCATAGCCATGAATACAGTGAACTAGTATATGCCATGAACTCGAGGTGGTTAAAGGGTGGGAAGTAAACCCGAAGCGCAAGCCGTAAGAAAGTGTGCATGTGCCACCTCCAGTTTAGTCCTTGAAATGTCCACTGGATGGCGGTGCTTCTATATGGAGAATATATGATGAAAAGATGCGAGATGGTGGTACTTGGAGTGCTGAATAGA